TTTAAGACTAAAAATACGTTTTACGCGGGACAAAACCATTTAGTTTAAATTCATAGTACAGGCTCTACTTTTTGTTTATTTTATTTTATTTTTTTTATTTTTTTTATAAAGAGAAAATCACTATCTGTAATATAGCGTTTTTATTATTTTGCTAAAGTAAATTAATTCAGAGTTATTTATTTTTTAACATTTGTAAAATTTCAAATTTTTTGTTAAGCTATAATAGATTATTGAAAAAAGTTATCGGAAAAATAAAAACACTACGCATAGGTTATGTTCTTTTCTTTAAAAATAAAATAAAAGGAAATGTGATATTCTGCCAAAAAATCAAAAAAAAATTATTATTTTATTTATAGGGACACATTTATAGATATTTTTGATTTTGTTCGGGTATCATATCCACTTCAGACGTTTAGACTACATTACTGATAAAATTGATAATAATAAAAATTGCATTTACTGAATATATTTCTTCAATTCAAGTGTCGGGTGTTTTCCATCAAGAAACAAACGCTCAAAAAAGGAATAACCAGTAAATATAAAAAACATTAAGGACACGTGTTAGAGAATAAATAAATATTGTAATTTTGGTGGGGAAGAATAGCCGAAAGATTTATTAGCTAATCCAATACGAATAAAAAAAAAAAATGTATCGTAAAGAAAACACAATACTCGTTTAAATCATAGCAGTAGTAAAACGTACACATTTGGAAAAGCATATTCATGTGATGAATCGTACCCTAAACATTGTACGAAAACTTATTTTACTAAGCATGATTAAAAATGTTTTTATAAATCTATTAAAATAATAGGTAAGTGCCGTCTTTACATATTTTCCTCGGATAACAGCTGTCGTTTTATTTTTTAAACACGCACCGGAATAACGGCGCGTTCTAACAAACCAAAACAACCGTTGATCGCCGCACGTCGTACATCGTAACACTAAAATTAGTGATCACACTAAGATTAACGATCAAATCGGCCCAATGACATTTGCGTTCAGTGCCGCGTTAAGCTATGTAGCCACCCCGGGACAAATTAAAATATGCCGTCCTTAAGAAAATTATAATTCAAAATAAAAAATAATATATGTAATGGAAATAATACGTATTATAGTTATACAGTCGTACAAGAAAACTTATAATTGTATAATTTTTATTTTATGTTGATCCTTAAAAATTTGCCACCCCGGGGCAATCGACTCCTCTTGTGCCCCGTTTAACGCATCTCTGTTTGCGTTACACGAAGACACGAATAAGGCATACGGATATCGATCTAATGTGTGCACCGACGTTGATCGTCGACCTCGGTGCAAACCGCGTCGCGGGGGCTATTACGAATCGGAGACACTTGCTCGCCGGCACCAAATCGCTTTCGGACGGGCCAACGGTTGTCTCTACCGCAATAACCTAACCGCGTGACGGGTAGTACGCATGTTAGGCGTGCACACCGCATAAATGCGAGTTAATTCGCCCCAGTGACCTGTTAGTCCGGTGTGGAATTACGATTTTCACGAGCGACTGGACGATGAAATGATTTTTATTATTATTATTATTATAATTCGGTCAAGTCGGAAATATTGTGTTATTGACATTGGTTGGGGTCACGGTGCCACCGATAAATACGTCTTCGCCGCGATCGTAATAATATTTTATTTTAGATTCTGAATGAAACGAGAAATGTATCGGTTTTGCTTTGGTGTGTGTGTATTTTTTTGTCTGCCTACACGATTTCCACCAGAAGGATTGGTCCGATCATAAATAAAAAGTAAAATATATCAGGAAATAGATTCTACCGTAGTGGGTGCTTTAGGTTAACAGCAGGAGTCATTTTTTTTGAACTTCTCGACAGGTTTCCGAATACTAAAATAAAACGAAGACAAATCGTAGGAAACTTCAATTTTTAACGAAATTCGAAACCATAACATTAACTATCGCATTTTATATTATTAAATATTAGTTTTTTTCTTTACTTTAATCTATAAGATTTCTATAAACTGAATTACTCCGATCTTAAAAGTTTTCTAACAGGAAATGTTGTTTCGTTGGTACTTTTAAAAGGGTCAATACACGACTTTTCCTACAGTTTTTATAATGTTTGTGAATATATTACGAAATTTTATAAAAATACAGCAAAATTTATAGCATACCGACTTTCGAAGAAGTCAAATTTTTGTTTTCATTAAGATTCTTTTTGTTCTTTATAGATAATTAAAATTTTTATGTTTTCTTAGCTTTATTCCGAAAATATCGATAAAATATTTTGTGTTTGACAAAAATTGCTGAAAATTAAAATTTATCATAAATGTCTATTATTGATTAATTTTAAAAAAATTAGCATTAATTTCAAAACAAAAACCAAGAGCGATTGAATATTAAATTTTGAAAAAACGATAAAAATAACGAAAACCAGGTAGATTTTAGCCATTCAATTAATGTTAGTTATTTAGTTAAAACAGTACATAGTTTTTCAACATTTTTTTAATAAAATGTGTGCTGTTTAAAGGAACTTGAGATTTTCGATTTTTCCAATTCCTTATGCCCTCTTTTGGTAAAAGTTAGTTCATTAAATATTCATCGTGCCTCAGTAAGAAGTTTGATTCTTCTACTGCATCTTAAGAATCCTACACTAATCCGCCCGATCTCTTTCACTCAGAATCGTTTTTTCGAGAGCAATGGAGGTCATTGGTTTCAAGTTTGAAATGCCAACACTGTTCACTCGTCCCTGTAATCGACCCGACCGTGGAGTATCGCCTAACCTAGAAATCTCGTTGTTGTCCACGAAAAGACGTCTACGGTGCCAATATACAATATAATTATTTACTTGTATTTACATAACTCCGTCGTTACGCTCTCAGTGCAATGACCGTCGCCCTTTTCGGATGAATTTAAAACATTAATGTGCCGTTATGGTTATTGTTATCGCTATGTACACAATGGCGTAATACACTATACAGGGCGCGTGCTGTTACATGCAGTATGATGGGGTGGCAAGGGTACAACGCATGGTCTGAAACCTTCTTGAAAATTACGAGACTCGACCCGCGCGTGAACATACGATTATTGCTATCAGAGGCGGCTTGATCATGAATGTTGTGGTCCACTGAATTACCAAGAAGTTTTTAGGGTGGGTACTTGGTCTTGGCGACTGGTAGCGGTAGGTACTATAAAATTGGTAATTTAACAGAAACTGGGTAAATTGTTGTGCTTAATATAACTTTTTGGTAGGTGGTATTAACTATGCTTGAACTGAAACATGTCAAACCGCCTATGATTATAATTATTGTTATAATTATTAAATTACCCGTTTTAAAATACTGTACAGTGAACAGATAGACCGACGTGCAAGAAACTCACGATTTACACGGTGATTAACGGCAAACGATCACCGATCGTGTTTCGTAACCGCACTTGGAACCGACGAATCGCGAACGACTTCGGCACGCATATAGGCACGTGACGTCTTGTATATATTAACAGTGCGCGTAATCGGGTGTTATCGACGACATCGTAACACGAGTTGCCGCGCGCCCGATAGTTACGGTCGTCGTAGTGCATTAGACTTTTTCGAATTCGTTTTTGCGGTCGGTTTTTATACATATTTTTATTATTTTTTTTTTTTTTTTTTTTTTTTTGTCAAACCAAATAACTCGACGCTTATGATACCGATACGACCGCCTCGTTATAAGTGTCTCGTCCGAATTCGATTTACGCAATACTGTATAAACACTTGGAGGCACGTGACCCCTCCGTGCAGGTGGACCCGGTCGGCGACGAAAATATTATAATAGTATAACAATATATTACTATCTACAGCGAGAGGACTCTGACGAACACATTTTCCAGTAAGAAACATGTTTTCATTTTTACATAACTCGCGTGACAGCGGTTGGACGGCCGTAGTTTATGTGTAACATTTTTATAATATGAACGGCGTATCTAAATAGTAATCTTACAAAGCGGCTATATGATGTTTTAGTTTTTGTCATAAAAAAAATGTAAACTCATAATGAGCGCAATTCGATATTTACTACGATTTACCGTCCGGCTTCTAAGCAATCGCTTTGGAATTCAATGACGATAAATTATTACATTTCATCCCATGTTATTAGTGTTGTTTTAAGACAACACTCCGGAACAAAAATTATATCTTCTTCTCTTATTCTTATACCAAAATATGTCTGACCGCTCTTTGTGGTCAAATATAGTATGTCGAATCACTTTTCTGATTTTTTAATAATTTTTTGTTTTTTTTTTTAATAAAAGTCACGTAGTATGTGGAAAGCAGTTTCTACTTTATGGCACCTAGCGTAGATTCGACAATCACTAACTGTGTATTAAAAATGAACATATATATTTAATGCACTCTACAACCGCGGGTCCGGGAACGTTTATTAAGACTTTGTACGTCTGATTTCGATATTTGTATGAAAGACAGTTCATCCTACGAAAACGCGTAAAAAAAAATAAAGTCATTTATAATGGAGTAGAATAGAACCGAGAGGAGAAAATAAATTCGACTACAAAACAAAGTTACTTTTAAACATAAATACGATATTACAATACGGTCTTTGGTTTGGTTTCTGGACACATGGAAGAATGGCGAAAATGATCAAGCGTGGACTTAGCGGTCGGTCTTTCGGAGAAAAATAATCAAATAATGGACACGTGGACTTTTGGCACCTTAAATGCATAGGATTACAACGAGATCGGTGCAGCGCGCATTCTCCTTGACACGATTAAAGTCGACGAAAATATTATACCGGTCATCGTGCGAAAAGGACGTTTTCAACACATCACGAAAACACATCTCCTCGACATCCCCGTTCTCCGATATTGAATTCGATCCATAGCGTATCGCCGCGTATTGTATAACAACAACGTTATTATTAATAATATCATTATTATAGTTATTATCATCGGTGCTATTATCAGGCCGTTGAGTCACAGCGTACGGAGAGTGACGACACTTTAACGTAATAATATAGTATATTATTATAGTATAGTGGTTCCATTGAAGTCGGTCAGACGGTCGGCGAAGACTTCACGGCGTATCGAAACGCGCATGTTATTATTATGTCGACGACGCGTTCACGGGTTAAATTCGATACTGAAAGGTAAATGCAGATAATAGGTATTTTATAACACGAAGTAAATAAAAATTACATTAATCAATATGCTATGCTGAAACCGTAAAAACATTTTTGACTACAATTAAATTACGTTTCAGTCATATCCCAAAAATAATAATTGCTTTCTAATTAAAAATTAGAATTTTCGGATTGGAAATAAAGTTATCCGATAATCATTAACGTAAAAACAGATGGACAGTTATTTGTTTCGTTACAAGTTATGGTACTACACGTATTTTCTAATTACGTAGTATAGTAGTAGTTCCATTGAAATCGGTCAGGCAATTGATAGAGACTTTTTTGGCGAAATAAAATGTGTATATTATTACTATGTCAACGACTTGTTCGGGGGTTAAATCATTTTCATGTGTTTCTCTTCTATCTCTGCTGTAGCACTTATACAAATACTATAATAACAGTTGGAAAATATTTTAACAACTTTATGGTAATCGAAAGAAGCAAAAGAAAATAGTTCTAAAAGAATCCGATTCGTAAAACCATCAAATAAATTCCATTATGTCGTTCAGCTCTTGAAACAAGTAGGAAAAAATGATTAGATAAAGATAATAAATCATTTCGGCTACCTATTATAACACATTTATTGCTTCTGAGTATCAATTTATAGACACATAATTTAATTTAAAAAAATAATAATAATATTAACATGAACCAGACAATATATTGTATCAAAAACGGAGACACATTTTCAACTTTTAACTACGTTTAAAATACATTTATAGGCGATGCCTCAAAAATGGTGGTCGGTTTTCAAAAAACGTATTGAAAAAATTATTTTTCAGCCTAGTAAATTAGTCCTTGATCATTGACATAATAACCGATAGTTCATTATTTGTATCGCGATATAATGCATACTTCATTAATATATATAACAAAGTATTTGTGGTGTATAGTGTTCCATTGAGGTCGGTCGGTTGGTTGGCGGAGACTTTTACGGCTTATCGAAACGCGCAAATTATTATTATGTCGACGACTTTTTCGCGGGTTAATCATTTTCGCATGTTTCTTCTGTGTCTTCCGCCGCCGGTTTGCAAGTGATCCGCGTTTCTTGGCATGCGAATGTTGTGTTATTACAATGTAGGTAATATGCGTCGAGACGAGTTTTGATTTTCGATTAGGATTTCTGAGAAAAAGCATTTTGGATTTAATAATAATAATAAGCGATAAGCGATATAATAGTGAACTCTAAGATATTATTATTATTTATTCTGTTATAGTATTATAATATGGATACGTAATATTCGAAACTAATTCATAATCACTTAATCGCCAACGGTTTTAATATTATCGTATAAACGACCATATGGAACCTACTAAGTACTGATTACTATAAGACTGCTGAAGCCATGTATTTATTTATTTTTTTTTCTTACATATTTTCTGTAAAAATTAGTGTAAATACAGATAAGAAATAAAAAACTAGAATTTGAAAATAAGTTTAAATAATGAAAAAAATATGTGAATTATTGGGTGGTAAATACATCATTATTATAACATAGTTACATAATAAGTTACTTGTAATTAACAATAGTTTTCATAGGTTTTTCACATGGAAATTATAGGTGACAATTTCCAAACATTTTCGTACAACAATTATACCTGAGTATTATCAATTAATCATAACGAGTTCGGTTTGATTTTGATGAATAATTTATATTAGTAGAAAATTTCCTCCCAACTTATATGAACAACATTCAGTTTTATAAATTACATTTGCAGTACTAAAGTATAAATACACAAGACAACGAAATAAAAAATCATATTATTTGATTAATGACAAAAAAAAGCGTGCAATTTTAAAAGAACAAAACAAAAAAATATAATATTGAAACGATTAAAAAAAAAAAAAAAAAAAAAAAAACGATAGTAATTTTAACGAATTTTCAAAACTAAAGTTTAAAATGTTTCCATTGTAGTTGTTATAATGTAGGTACTAAGACCACCGGATAATTTCGATCTATACCTATACCTTGAACCATATCATGGTTATTACTTATTACGTAAGGCAAACATGATTATACAATTCATGTGAAATGCTCATACATTCTGTAAATGAAAATTAGATGAAGTCGTAAAATCAAAGAGCTATACAATTTTGCTACATTAGAAATGAGAATTTCAAATATAAAATATGATACAATTATGATTTTTAAATTGTTTTAAATTTTAAAACGTGATTTTTTAGCAGAAAAAAGTCATCGTGTAGATTTACGTCGGTTTAAACTTAAAATTTCTGTTTTCATAACAATGATTATCCCTGTTGAACAGAGTACTTTTATAATCGATTCATCCAATAAGAAATTATTATATTTGTTAGTACTACTGGGCAAAAAATGTTCAAATTCAAAATTTACTTTTATCATAACATATTCTTATAATTTTTCGTCAGAAAAAATAAAACAAATTACGTTGTTCGTATTGTTTTTTGCTTTTTTATTTTACCCATAATTATTTTATGTTTTATCGCAGAAAAAAGTATTATAATATTATCAAGTGAATATTATTTTGCTGAACAAAACATGGCTAACTTAACACGGGCACACAGTTTTGTGTATCAAACACAGGACCATTTATTGAAAATGTTGAAGAATGAACTAGTTTTTGGTGAGTATCACTATGGTGCAAATATTAATTGTTCCACTTCCAATATTCATTCACCATAAACTATCGATATTTTTGTAAATAATTTGTCTGTAGATTATATTGATATTATTATTTTATTAAGTCTAAGATACTATATTAATGAACAATTATTTTTGAATAGATGAAGTGGTCGATTCGTGGGCGTTCATGAGTACGCCATGGTCAGTACTATCGATTTTGTCTGTGTATTTGTTTTTCGTTTTAAAAGTTGGACCAAATATGATGGAAAACCGGAAACCATATAATATTAAAAACGTGATGCTTCTGTATAACGCAATACAAACTCTCTATAATGGATGGCTTGTGATGTGGGTAAGTTGTAAATTTTCGGTTTATCTAACGTCTATAACAATAAAAAACATAACAATGGATTAATTTAAAATATCGTTTATATTATATGTCATGATATCGAATAGTATTTGTATTGATTTGATTTTTATATAATCATATTTAAAAAAATACTTTTATCTATACGATCACGGAATGTTATATTATTTTAATTAGATATACTTTATTGTATATATTTACTTTTAGTTATTGGCGTAATATAGTATTGTTAAAAATATGTTGCGTAAAATTATAAGTTAATTTAAGTATTTAAAATTTACTTTAATTTTAATTTTTAGTTAATTACATATCACTTAAATTGTGTAATTCTTAATATCAATATATATATATATGTAAATGATAACTCAAGTATATTGTTTACAAAACATTAGTTAAATTAAATAGAACCATGTATTTTAAAATATATTTCAACTATATGTAACAAAAAAAAAAAAAAAAAACGGATCCCAATAATAACCAATAAAAAAAAAATTTTATTCATAAAAGTTACTGCGATAATCAATGTTGCCTTAAAACAATCACATGATAAAATATACTGATGTGTCAATGGTTATGTATATTTCCCAAAAGATTTAAATTATATAGATCACACACATATAATCATATATATAGATAATTCTCAGTTATTCGTTATATTAAACTTAAATAACAGTAAGTTAAATTTCTATTCAACTTAGTGGACTAACATAGAAGATCCAAACCCAAGACATAGTTTAGAATTTCTTATTAACACCCATAATCATCAATCTGTACTTAAATATAATTATACAAAACATGAAGTAGATCTGAAAACGATATTAGCATATACCGGGGGAACTATACGAGTAAAATAGTTAATAACTTAGTGATAATTTTTTTTAAACTACCTGATGATTGTTATCAGAAATTATTGTGACATAAACGCAATGAAAGCATCACAGAACGCTTAAGAAATTTTCACGGGAATTAGTATGCTCGTGAGACCAAGCAACGCGATACATCAGTTAGTGGTCAGTCGGGTCAGGTATGAAATAACCACTTTACAACGTATGTGGGTTATGAGTCAACGATTGTTGTACAATTGAGGATTATTGTACCAATCAAATTAATTTAATCACACTTCGTGATTATGAGAAGAAAGGCAGAGTGTTTAGATAGACGAATACACACATGGATATTATTCGGTTGGAATAATTAAGGCTAAAAGACTTTTAGGATGGGTGCAAAACTCAAGAGATAATGATATTTTATAGGTGTCTCTTGACATATTTCCAAGTATCGAATAAAAATGGAAAACAAAAAGTAAATGAAACGACGTGATGAAGACCACAATCAAATCAATGGGAAACAGCAGTCTGAATAAATTTTAATTTCAATAAATCTTAGCGCCATATGAGCTATAGCAACTATTATTGTATCTTAACAATGGTCAATTCAAGATGAAAAACCAAAAATCTCTATTTACTACGAGTATCAAGAAAACGCTGACATTCAGAATAGACAAAATTGCATGTTTTGGATCACAGATGTAGTTGGATCCATTCCAAAAAATCCTAGAATTTGATATAAATCATATAATTATTGACAGTGCTTGCAACATATTCACTCGGAAGATTTTTTAATTCACTACGAATTGCATTGATTAACGTCTGAGATGCAAATACCAGAATCATTTTAGGTTTAAAGGATTTTAAATCAATGAACCAAATGTACAAATGTGTTTGTTATATTATAATTTGTTATGCTAATATATGTATACGTGTTATAGCGAAATTAATTAATTGTTATAACCGGTTGTGCTACAACATCTATACAAACTAGATAAGTTTATATAGTTTTATATTATTAGTTGATTAGAGTTTATTATTATTATTATTATTTATTAAAGTTTATTGAATTTGATGATGAACAAATATATACTACGATTATGTTTAGTGTTAAAAAACAATATCAATTGTTATTAACATATTACATATAATAAATAATCAACTATATTTTGTATTCAGTGATAGACACTAAATTAATAGTCTTAACCCAATTAATTTAGAAATTATTTTCTTTTTTTATACACATGATTTTTCTTTTTTGACAAATTAATCCAAAAATTCATAAAGACATAAGCCATTATACTCCGAAGTAATATTTTCATGTATTCGTAATTATTTTATTATATAATTTGTTATGTAATACGTAGTCTTATTTAGTTATTTGTTTTATAATATGTATTTATTTCTATACATTTTTACCAATTTCGTAAATAATACAATAAATCCTTTTACAGTATCCAGTATTCAGAGATACCTCAAAAAATGTATTTCACTAATGACAGGCGCGTAGCTAGGGGGAAATTTTACAGGTGTAGTAACACCCCCCCCCTTTGGCCTTGTTATAATTAAATCTTATTAAGGTAAAAATTCTTCATAAACCGTGATGAAAACCTTTTTATCATAACGAAATAAATACCAATAATGTAAAGCCGGGATCCGACTTCTCATTACACCGTTTTGTCTAGTAAATCAAAGTCGTAGTTTTATGTTGTATCATACACAATATAAAATAGGTACATATGACAAAAATGTACATTTGAAATGTTAATAATATATTTAAATACTTCCTCATAGAATAGTACATTACACACGAATATATATTCATGTGTAATGTACTAATTTGTTTGTATGCTTATACAATTAAGTATACGTAAAGTAATTATTTTGTTGTGTATAATTTTGAATAACACCCCTCCTCTTTTAAAATACCTAGCTACGCACCTGCTAAATGAAGTGTTACATATAAAATTCCATTAATTTTTTTTTTTTTGTTTGTTTTTTGTTATTAGTTCTTTACTACACCTGGAGCAGTGGCGTATCAGATAAACCATATATGTCACCCTCTGCCTCGAAATCTCAACCAATTTCTTGTACATGAAGTAAGATTATATTTATTATTAAAATAAAATTATTTATTATTATTAAATAATTTCTTAGCCTTAAAAAAATATGCACTAATCTAGTTTTATTTTACATTTATAATTAAGGAAGAGATAAAAAAATTTCTGCCATCGTTTTATTTGTATTAATCAAATATATTATTCGTGTTTAATATTATTTCATAATTTTATAAACATTATGTAAATGTGTTTCAGTTGAACAAAGGTTCATGGTACTTTTTCCTATCCAAAGTAATTGATTTGTTGGACACTGTAAGTATTCTAAAAAAATTCTTATATTAAAAATTACATTGAAATAATACTATATTATAGATGATTGTATTTATTAAGCACTATATATATAGAGAGAGCAAATGTTTTAAATCAATTGAGACTCGACGATTGAGTCAAATACAATGATGGGTGAACGGTATTTCTGTATAGGTTTTTTAAATTGGAAACCAATGTGGCATTGTTTTCAAAAAAACGATTCTGAGTGAAGAGGTTGAGTGGATAAATTTATATTTTTTAATATTATTGATGTAGTGGAAGAAATAAAGATCTTAATAAAGCAGGTTGAACTTTTAATATTCTAACCATCATCTAAAAAGAGTATAAAAAATTTGGAAAAATATAAAATTTCAAGTGCCTATTAACATCACTAATTTCATAAAAATATTTCAAAACTATGAAATGTTTTTAATAAAAAAAATTATTATTGTTTTATAGAAATTCTTTGAAATACCTCATTTTGTCAACTTTTATTTTATCAATTATAGTATATATATACATATCTATGAGGAACTTTAAAATTTATTTTCAAACCAAAATTATTTTGATGGTATTTTCGAAAGAAAGCTAAGAAAACATTAAACTTAAAATTTTTTATAATTAATATTAAATATGTCATGTCTCTATGACAATTATTTTTTGAGTAACAATTAAATGTTGTCGAAAACCGGTATGCCATTAATTTTCCTGTATTTTATAAAATTTCATGAGATTTTCACTATTATTGAGAAAACTGCCGGGAAATTCGTAAGATAATCCCTTTTGAAAATACCAACTAGAAATAATTTTTTAACAGTAATCTCTTATGATTGTGATTAATGGAGCACTCTCTGATAGAAATCATGTACGCGGTTAAAAAGAAACACACATTATAGTCATACCAATGAATTCCTTCTTTCATTGAACAGCTAAAATAAATATTGTCATCGGTTTATCGAAATAGTATTATTCTTATACATTGTAGTATAATAATAATGATATATCCAAAAAAAACGCACGATCGGCTTTTGAATTGAAACATTTGGAATACGCAAAAAGTCGAGTAATGATGTGAAAAAAAAAACATATTATTCTAGAATTCAGGTGAACGTTTTTGCTTTTTATTCTTACGATTTCCGTTTCCGTTCGAAAATAAGCGTACGGTTTTTTAGCATCGCGTATTTATCACTTTATTTCACCAAGGTTGGTTCGAACGTTATTTTCCCAACTTTTGCCTTGTAGTTGCACCATTGCATAATAATATTTTAAAATTCCGTGTTACCGTGTATTGTGTAGCAACGCTGAACTCTCAGAGATAACAACACGTAAAGTAGGTATTTGCAAATGTCGATTTAATATTCCTCGAAGCATCTGCCCGCAAACTGTCGGTATAATTTTTTGTTTCACGCAGAGGCGTAGAAGTAATTTAATACGTAATATTTGTTCGTCTGACGACGGTATTCGTTACGATTTGTTGTGCATCAGTATTATAATTACGTATCGCAAACCTTATGATGTTTCTATGTTATTGTATAATATTATGCGTGCGCTCAAAGCTCGTAAATTCCCAGCGTAAATCGGTTTTCAAAACAACTACCTTTACGATAATATGTCATTGAAAATGTGTTTACCGAATTTCTCGTAATCTATTTCCGCGTGGACTCGTGTTTCCGTATAATAATAATTTTTATAATAATATGACCACGACGTTCGGGCATTCTTCCTACCACGTTTGATTGGCCGTTAAATCCATTAAATATTTAATTTATCGTCATTATTGTTCGCCGTTCGTTATCCGCACGCCTACTGCGAGCGCTACCCACACCACAGCCGCGCGAGTCTTCCGCGTTAAAAACCGCACCGTCCCCACGGTGGTATCCTTGTTCACAAATTTTCTCTTCTCTCGTTTGTCCACCGTAACGCAACACTGGACCCCGGTATTTCCGGTATCTTCGGTATCCCTGGGTTCAAAGCATGATGTTTTGCGATTCCACGAACGCTGCGAGATTCCTACAGGGGCCCACGTGTTACACAGAACGAAACCAAATGCACACGATGCAGATTCGTTGTAGAGCGAAACGAGTGTAAAACGTATTTGCAGAAGGGTAAGAATGCGAGGGATGTTTTCAATAGTTAGGGCTCGAGTACCGTGAACGTATAGTACTGTTGTTCTTACGTCAAACGCGCTTGTTTTTGCGTTTGAAATCATGATACGACTTAATGTGACCGTAATGATGTACATTTGTTTTTTACGCGACTGTTACGTTTCAGGTGTTCTTCGTCTTGAGGAAAAAACAGTCACAAGTATCTTTCTTGCACGTTTACCATCATGTAAACATGGTAATCACATGCTGGGCCTATCTGAGGTTCATAAAAGGTAAAGATTATTATTGATATTATTATTAATTTTTTTTTTTTACGTAACCGTCATGTTTTACGACGAAAGTTAAACTTGTGTATCATGAAAACCGTGATAACAATAAACATGAAATCATAACATCAGTATTGTACATAAAATACATTTATATTTAATTCCGACAAACGTACATCGTACGTGTAGTCACATTTACGGTAATATAACAAACTCGGATTCTGGCTGAAGAGAAAAATTCTAACACGGTAGTTTTCATTTTTATTTACTTATTTATTCATTTAAATAGAAAACAGATTTGAACTGAAAAAAAATATAAATTATAACATTTTCCGAATGCCGTATCATTTCCCCCAGAGCATTTCCATTAAATTCGCCACTGTTCACACGACAAATTTGAATTAACTCGTTCCGCATATGGTTTAGATATCGCGACTTGGCCACAAGGTGAAATGAATCGGTATCCGTCCGTTGGTGTACAAGGTTCTTCTTTTTCTCCGGACGTGTTTTTCCTGTAGAATATTTTTCCCGAACATTTTTATTTGAAACACAATAAATCGTATGCACCATACACCATTTATATACTTTAACATTATAACTATTGAGTCATAACTGCCACCAGGTATTTCATCAAGGGGTGCATCATACATAGTATATGCACTGATTTCTAAATAATGCTTAAATTATTTAAATTAAATACGTTTTAAAATTGTATAACATTATAAAGCTATTTTTGTTTTTTTCGATGGCCACAAAGTAATAATAGCTTCTATCTTACATTTTTTAATTGTTTTCTTTTTTCTTTAAATCCATGAGGATGTAAGTGCACCCCATTGCATCTCTCTTACGGCACTAATGTATTGAGCTTCAGTACAGAAAAAAAAAAACACTTTATGCCATACCAATATTAATGTTCTTAACTTATGATTAGAATCAATTTGTTCCCATCAAAATGCGAACTCATAAACCTCATTAACTACTGATAAATGTTTGTAACTAGATATATTTAAATAACTTTTTCTAGTTTTGAACTTCTAATTGAATTGTGTACTAGTTAGGAGAGTATCTGGTACAATATTTCCTTTGAGTCAGTTATAATATATAATTGATATCATAATTGTTTATAATTCAAAATGTATTACCTTTATGGTTATTCGAATAATGATTTCTGATTTTTTCGGAACCTTCGATGTATCATAGGTATTTACATAAAACCATAAAATTATTTATATAAAATCATTCGAATGCGTGTGCTTGTATTTGTGTAGGTGCGTGTATGCATCATTTATTATTTTATACTATATAAAATACATGCCAAGGTTGCTTCATAATGCGTTTAGTTTAGAACTTTAATATACATTATAAACAGTGCCGGATCAGTCTTAGGAAGCCGGAATACAAATACCAACTGAGGGCCCCAAAAATAAATTTCCTTAGTATATACCATATCTTGGTTTAAAATTAATTTAATTTAAGAGTAACAACATAAAATAAAAAAATATACGGGACACGTAATAGTGATAAAAAAAAGGCAAATTTTAATGTTAGATTTTTGTTTTGAGGCCCCAGTTTAGCCCCTGTACCCCCGCTAGATCTGACAATGATTATGAACCCTACATACAACTATTTAAAATAGCATAATATATTATAATAACAGTGATATTATTCAACAATTTTTTTATTTGCCTTTTCAAAATATTTAGTTTAAATTTATTACTCGAACATCTTTAAAAATACCAAATCTGATGATAAAATTTCTAGACCAGTTCTTCTTTTCACTTACAATCTAAAATAGCATTGAAATATCTACTCTAAATGAAAAAAAATACCACATAAATCAGCAAATATGTACACAATCATGTAAAAAATTCTGTAAATATATTAAACAAAATTAATTTATTCTAACGCTAAGGAAGAAATGTATTTATAAATAAAATAGTTCAGGATAGATATATAAAAACAAATGTAAAACTAAAACGTTTCATATAAGTTACCTACAAACAATGTCAATTCTATTAAAAATCACTGACATTAAATTTGAAATTATCAAAGCGTACATATGTAGATTATGACTTTAAAGGTTAAATATTATGTGTAACTGCGATGAATGTTTCACTCAACAAATAAATGTTCATCAACTACGTCGATAAAGAAATTGTAATCTAATTAACAACACCATAGAAATTCTCAAAAGCTGCACAAAAATGATTTGAGCGATGATATTTTAACGATATTTTTTTTGGAAATAACATATAATTATTTTCAAATGTGTAATTTAATGTAATGCAATTTTTGATTTCGTTAACTACTGTTGATATTATTACTTATTTATGTAAAATAGTATTATTGAACGAACATTACAAAGTGTAATTTCGTCAAATAAATACAGAAATGAGAAAAAACAAAAGTTATAATCAATGACTCTTATAATGTACTTGTTAAATATTTTTTTTTCTTAGGAGAACAACTGTTATTAGCTGGTCTCATAAACTCGTTTATTCACACGGTTATGTACAGCTACTATTTCCTGTCGGCTTTGGGTCCCCATATGCAAAAATATTTATGGTGGAAGAAATATTTAACCCGTATGCAAATCGTAAGTTCAAATGCTTAATATTATATTCTTAACCGTTCTTGAATATAAAACCATAATATTATGTTAATCAATAATTACCTTATTTTAGATTCAATTCATATCGATCATGGTATTTAATGTTGGTTTATACGCATTTAGCTGCACTATTCCTAAGCTATTTATGATGTACGTGCTTGCTGACCTCTCCTTGTTTTTGTATTTGTTTTTAATGTTCTACAGAAGAACGTATGAAACAAAACACAAAGGAAAAGAACATACAAACTAAAAGCTCAATAAAAAAAAAAAAGAAGAAGATTTAAGAATGGTGATAATTGATCGCCAGGTCTATATTATTAACTTTATATTTTTCGAAAAAATGTGATCTATTTTTTAACATTTTTTTTTTTTTTTTTTATTCAATGTTATAAATTTGACAATAGCTTGATTTATTTTAGAATAAGTAAAACTAATAGAACGTTTCTAGATATACTAAATTAATCAGAATCAAACTGAATGAAAATTATTCATTGATTGTGCACCACATGGTAGTTGTTATATTAACAACAATAATGTCTTACAAAGAAAATGTTTATTTTTTCACCCAATTACATAAAAACATTGTTTATTATTAATTAAACATAATTAAATATTTAATATTCACGCGTATAATGTGATCAGTTTGATTAAGATATTTAAAACTATTTTTCTCTTTCCCACTATTATGTTATTATTTTGTTAATGTAATATCGATGGATAATAACGAAGACCAAAACACTGTTTGCAGAAAACTTATTTAAATTTTTTTATGGATACCTTTTTTAATTATATACTTCCATATATTATAAATAATATGTATAATATTGTATTATGGTTATATTATTATGACTTAAAATTTAATCATGTATTTTATTTTTATATTTACCATTAAATCCATTTGAATTATTTCAAATGTACAATAATTTATTATTTAAATTCACATATTTATCTTTTTAAAAATTTGAAAAAATTCGATATAAATTTTAAAAATTAATTCAAACACGTGTAAACAATTTTAGTTTCATACATTTTTTTTCCATAACAATACCATTACTCTGAATAAAATTACTTATTATAAGAAATAAATCACATTAATTTACATATTTTTTTTTTAAATACAGCCTTTATTAAAAAGGAATACTAAATCAACTCTTTTGATTATACTCTGTACATGGCTACATTTAAACTATCATACTACTACATATAAGATAATTGTGTAACATAAATTCAATTTTTATAATGTTTGAAAGTATTTGAAATACTTTTTAAAAGTATTTGAAGATGGTTTAAAATCCTATTTCTATAACTATTTTAAATTCAAATAGTTATAAATAAAAGCATTTTAAATGTTGAGTACAGTACTCGGAATACTTTTAAAAAGTGTTTATTATAACACTAATTAATTAATTATTATAGCTGGTATACAATACTCCATTCCGATTCATAACTGAACTATATACTTATAATGTAAAATAATATAATGCTTATTATTTTTTTAACAACAAATTTTATACGATATTATATAAATACACATAGCGTCCTTTAGTATTCAGAGTTAAATTAATAGTTCTTATAATTCTGACAATTTTAAAAGCTCAATGCTATGGAATGTTTTTATGCAAAATTATATTATAGTTGTAAAATGTTTTTTTATTTATTTTATTTTATAGTTTTGTAAGTTACCAGTTTACATTAATTATATCAAAACCCAACGATTTGATGGTTTAAAAAAAATAAATAACGCAAATCATATGAAAAGGGAAAATTTTATTATTGTAATTAATTATTTGTTACAAATGTAAAAACGTTTTAAAATCCTTATATATATTTATGTTATAGCAAGACCCTATAAGTAATTATTTTATAGTGTTACTGTAAAAATCAAATTATTGGCTAATATATTTATTTATGTATTTAATCAATTGTAAGTAAATAATATTTAAGTAATTATAATATGGTTATATGTTAAATTTCTATTGTTGGTTTAATAAATAGTTTGGTAGTTTCCATCAATTACCAATACTAAAATTGAAATATTGAGTTATTGTGAGTAGATTTATATGATCCATAGTTTTAAATTAATGGTAATTAATAAATCGAATATTATTTGTTTATACAAATCCTGAATGTAGTTTATCTATGAAATATTCGGCTATAGATACCAAGATCATAAACCATGTTTCACATAAAAATGTTATTTAACAGAGAAAACGATAGAAAATAAAAAAATTACATTATCAAATATCTATGAAAGTTTTAGAATTTTAAACAAACAATGTTATATTCATATTATAAAAACACCAAAAAATAATATGAAAGTATGTACTACATGTTAATTTTAGTGCTGAAAACTTCGAGTAATATGAAAATAATTTATGCTTTGTTTTTTTTTTTTGTTTTTTTCATTACATATTTTGTAATGTTATATATTATTTGACATTATCACGTTTTAGAAATTATTAAACAACAGTTCATTCAACTCGCGCTCAGAAAACATAAATCAAATAATAAGATCCAACTTAACGGTACATTGTGATCTCACATTGAAAAACCCTTAAAAGACATCAAATTTGGTCAAATTACCATCCCTATACTCTATGCTATACTCCTACTCAACATGTTAATCAGAAACTTCAAAGAGCTCCTCATGACTATTCTTTCCGGGATAACACCGGGTGTCGTTAATTAATAATTATAAGTCGTCAATACGTAAATACCGACAGTCGATTGCATCAATTTTCACTCTTAATTTACAACTTGCGTTCTCTGTGCATTTATTGAAAAGTGCCCAGCATCAATTCACTAAATAACGTGTCTGCTTAGTTTCAACCTTATTTTATTGCTGTAAAAATTATAAGTATTTGACTCATCGACATTCGAAGATCAACTACAAAACAAGTAAGTGATGTTTCATTAAACTTCCAAGACTTACTCAGTTGCACTGATTGGCTTTTCAACCTTAGTAATCCTAAAACCTCTCTCTTAAACAAGAATGAACATAATTAATCTAATCTTATATTTACATCCCATACTATTTTATTCCCTACCTTATTTTTCTTTTCTTTCATTTTGGGTTATTAATATTTGATTATTTAATGATTAATATTTTGAATTCGGTACCAATATAATATTATGCACCTATATAAATACATAAAATATAAATACATAAACTATGAACGTACACTATTCAATTATTATCATTGATAATACAATAAGTATACATTGTAATAAGTAATAACCGGTAAATCTGTCAAATGTTTTGTTGAATTAACGTTTTGCGTTGAAATTAAAAATAATAAAATTTAAAAATATTTTATTGTTATTATCATTATTATTCGCTCATTTGGAACCATTTAAACCCATTGCCGCTTCCATTTTGTCTCGGCATGCATATCTATAAAATATTAATCTTTCTCCATCCCTGATTCCTAGAAGCTTCATATTTTCTTTGACACGGTCATTCCACCCCTGTTTTAGTCGTCCTCTTGGTTATATTCGATCTGGCTTCCACGTTGTGACCTTGTTTACTATTCTATCATTTACTCTTTACACATGTCACATGTTATGATTTTTAACGCAATGATCACGTTCTTCCTCATCAATAAAATATTCATAGAGTATTTAATTGCTTATATCAATCATAATTTATCTCGGGTTCCATATTTGTGCACGAGCACTTTCATATGGCATTATTCAAGAGACGCGGTCATGTGAACCCACAAGAAATTAATCCCATGAGCCCGAATCATCTTAAGGACCACCAGCACCAAACCCAAGACCGAGTGCCGTGTTGGGTACCACCACGCCCTTCACTAAGTCATAGGTTGTCTTAACCCTAAATGTGCTTCTCGCGACAGTCACCACGTTACAGCCGAAGTAAACGCCTCATCCTCGGGAGGTAAGGGGAAGTACCATTTCCGGATTAACAAGCTGGTCCAGCCTACGATGAGGCTACCTCCTCCCGTGTCACCTACTAGGATTTAAGTTGACGTCGGTAGAAGGGGAACCACGGCGTTTCATTATTCCAGTGAACCATTTTTTCGCCTAGTCAGCGGTAGTACTTTAGCGACTTTTCGTCTGGTGTTAAATAATACGTCGAATATTTAGTTATCTGACACAGAATACGCCAACACTAAAACGTATTATTGACAAATCAAGTGAATAATATGCCGTATACAATAATCACCATATCGGACAACACTGTGTCTTGTCTTCGAGTTGACAAGACTCACGCGAGCTAATTTACATGCTGGACCAGTATCCCGGAATTCTATAATTTTACTCAGGCCAAATAAAAATACAATGGCCTCAAGCAACCCAGCGACCACAAGCCTACATTTTTACTTTGCAAAGAAAAATAATTTGTACTCTCAAATTACAATTACGTGTATTAAACATGATTCATACTAGTCAAATCGATAGACACCACACCATAACGTCAGCGGTGGATTTGCCCACTGGGATACAAGGAAAGTTCCCGGTGGGCCGGTAGTCGTATTATAACACTGGACCGATGTACTGAGATTAAAAATTATTTTATAAAAATAATTTATTTATATATATAGTATTTAATTGTAAGATTGTGATAAAAACCTAATGTAAGCGTGAAGTAAACAGTTCTTTGAGTATTTAATCCATGAATAAAGAAGACTTTTATGGAAAATTATTATTATTAGATGGTGGGCCGGTCATACGATGATTTCCCTGGCCAAATTTTTTAACAAATCCGCCGCTGCATACGGTTCCACAAAATATTTTATGATGTGTTTTAATTTTGGTGATTCACATTTGAACGTTTCCATTCCGTTCATACACGTACCGATCTGACAGAGCTCGTGCGGTATTTTTCGCGAGAATATAGAAAATTAAGTGCAAACCATAGATTAGCCCTCTGATTCCCGGCCTCATTTTAAAAATGTATTCTGGCCGCGACCTGATCTAAGTAAAGGGTTCAGCGCCACTGCGTTGGACGATGTCTTCGATGTGACACAATTATTTCATAATGCAAGTATGCTATACAGCGTGTTTCCTTCTAAAGGTAACACTAAATAATTCTGTCCAGTGATATCGGATTAATATGCGGTTTTCAGGAGGGGATTGGGAATACATAAATACACATTTTTTAATGATTTTTACATTTTTAGAT